ATTGGAATCCCCTGGTATGTTTCTAACTCTACCGTTTGAGGTAAGTCTCTTACATTTTTAAGGTCACCTTTATTTACATGATGTATTTCTACAATGAAATGAATTTCCATTTGATTAGGATTTGTATGTTTACAGATTTTTGGGGGGTTTATACATCATATGACATTGCTGCAATGCAGTAAAGAAGTTAGAGGGATGCAAGGCTTGGATTTTGGAGTTGGTACATATGTGAGCCAGTTAGTGTAACAAAAAAAATCTAGTCTGAAAGCAGAGAATAGAACCCAAGTTCAACACTATACTTAAAAAGTATACTTGCATTTTTGAAATTTATATTTATTAAATGAAAGATTTTTATTAAAAAAGCATATAAAAGAGTTATCGCAAGAACAAACAATGTCAATAGGTCTAATATAACAATGTGATGATGTCTGTTGTGATCATGAAGGCAATAATTCAGAATCAGGAATCCAATTATGATAACAAATTTATGTCAATATAAAGAATCTGATAAGGGAGAGAACAACGAGTAAAAGTCAGTTTTACTAAGTTTTAATTGTTTTTCATGAATAATAGAGAATCCTCTATAAGAATGAGACTGTGACTAATGTGGAAGTAAGGAATTCTAACATTTACACAAATTTTTTTTTTGTTAATAGATTTTTCTCTAGCATTCCCTTTTGTAGCATGGCTTATGTCTATTATTTTGCATAAATTTGGTCTCACTAAAGAAAATATATTTCTCTAATAAGGACAACCCAGTAATATTGGGCCATGGGCATTTGGATCTATGCCAACAAAAAAGTCATTTTATTATCCACATGTGTTGATAAAGAATGAATTATTTCTGGCTTTAAGAGTTTCTAAACATAAATGTTATTGGATATATTTTGGATATCTGTCTATCGTATACTTAACAGATATTTCTTGTTGAAATAGACTCTGCTTGGGCTGCTGCTGTGGCTCACTTGGTTAATCCTCTGTCTGTGGCATCAGCATCCCATATGGGCGGCAGGTTCTAGTCCCGGTTGCTCCTCTTCCAGTCCAGCTCTCTGCTGTGGCCCGGGATTGCAGTGGAGGATTTCCCAAGTGCTTGGGCCCTGCACCTGCATGGGAGACCAGGAGAAGCACCTGGCTCATGGCTCCAGATCAGCATAGCACTGGCCGTAGCGGCCATTTGGGGAGTGGACCAATGGAAGGAAGACCTTTCTCTCTGTCTCTCACTGTCTATAACTCTACCTGTGAAATAAATAATAATAATAAAAGAAATAGACTCTGCTTGTTATATCACCTGCTGGCTTTATCCTGAATTCTGTGATTCTTATATATTCTTTTAATTTTTATTGTTTGTTTTAAACATTTTATTGCAATATAGTATACATACCAAGAAATACACGTAAGAGTGTGAATTGTTAAATCAACAATGGGAGTCACTGTACACTTACTCCCCATGTAGGATCTCTGTCCTTAATGTGCTGTACTATGCGAATTAACAGTAAAACTAGTATTCAAACTGTACGTTATACTTTGTGTGTCTGTGTGTGTGCAATCTATTGAAATCTTTACTTAGTATATACTAAGTTCATCTTCTATATATAAAGATAATTAAAAGTGAATCTTAAAGAAGAATGGAATAGGAGAGAGAGTAGGAGATGAGATGGTTTGCGGGTGGGAGGGAGGTTATGGGCGGAAAACCACTATAATTCTTAAGTTGTATTTCAAAATTTATATTCATTAAATGAAAGTTTTAAAAAAGAAATACACATAAGTGTATGGATAAATGAGGGTTTTCCTTATCATAACATCACACTCATAACCAATACCCAAAATTAAGAACAAAACATTATTAGTACCCCAGGAGTCCTCACTATTTACTCTTTCTACATTTCTTTTTGTTTTTTAATATGAAATAAGATTCCACGGTGATTTATGTAGTAAGATTCAATAATGGGAGATCATTATGCTAAGTGAAATAAGCCAGACTCAAAAATATAAATATCACATGTTTTCTCTTACCTGTGGTAGTTATTATATAGAAGGAGTATAAAAATTGTGTGTGTACAATATCATTTAGGAAATAGTTATCAATAGTGCTTCATGTGATTTTTTTTTTTTGACAGGCAGAGTGGACAGTGAGAGAGAGACAGAAAGAAAGGTCTTCCTTTTTCCGGTGGTTCACCCCTGAATGGCCGCTGCAGCCGGCTCACTGCGGCCGATGCATAGCGCTGATCTGAAGCCAGGAGCCAGGTGCTTCCATTTGGTCTCCCATGTGGGTGCTGGGCCCAAGGACTTGGGCCATCCTCCACTGCACTCCCAGGCCGCAGCAGAGAGCTGGCCTGGAAGAGGGGCAATCTGGACAGAATTGGGTGCCCCAAATGGGACTAGAATCGGGGTGCTGGCACTGCAGGCGGAGGCTTAGCCTGTGGAGCCCCAGCGCCAGCTTCATGTGATTCTTATTTTAGCAATATTATTTGAGAGAGAGAGAGAGAGAGAGAGAGAGAGAGAGAGAATATTGTGGTATTACTTTGCTTTTCCTAAAAAAATTAATGAGGTACAGACACTTTAATGGATATATTTGCTATGAATAGACTTTCTTTGCTGTAGAGTCTACTCAATTTTTCACCATTTACAAATACATTATGGTTTTCTTACTGTTGCAGTTGGAGCTTTCTTTTTATAATTTGAATATAAACCCTCTGTCAGTAGGTCATTTGAAAACAATTTTCTATTTTTGCTTTGTTTCCCCCTTGTCTTAGCATTGTTTTTTGCAAAACAAGTTTTAAGCATTAGTGCAGTGTGATTATAATATTTTCCTTTTCATGAAATCTTCTAGTGTTGTATCTTGAGAATTTGTTGCTTAATCTAAGTTTTCAAATATGTTTTCTTATGTACTCTTCTGAACTTTCATATGTTACATGTTGTTCTGTAATCCAATAATTATAGAAGTTTGAAGAAAAAATTAAGCTTCACCTATAGAATGTCTAATTAAAAATGCTATCGTTGCTTTGGCACCATTTTTGTTTTCAAAAAGTAATTGCTTATATTTATGTACTATAATCCTTATAACTGTAGTTTGTCTGATTTTCAAGTCTACTTTTATAAAATTAATATATCTTTTCCAGCTTTTTAAATTATTGTTTTCACAGTTTTCCTTTTTTGAATTTTTGTCTTTAATCTATGTATATTTTTACAGTTAAATTTAGTTTTATGTATATAGCAAATAATTCAGTCACATATTTTCATTTGATCTGATACCTGCATTTTATATTTAGTGTTACAGCAGTTTACATTTTTTAAAGACTTTTCAATTGTGTCAATGTACTTTCCATGTTAATCTGCATATTTTATTGTGTTTCTCATACTCTAATAATAAAGCCATATTAAAATGTACTAGTCAATCACAATTTTAGCAAAAGGAAAGAAAAATAAAATATTAATTATTCATTATTTAAAACATTAAAAATATATTCCTATTTTCTATTTCCCATTAACTTTTACCTGAACCAAATAATGTTAGAATGGTGGCATATATTTTTTAAAAATAACTGTAAGGACTAATGTCAAAAATAAGAGTGTAAATTGTTAAACCAACAACAGCAGTCACTGTGTACTTACTCCCCATGTTGGATTTCTGTCCTTAATGAGGTGTATTTTGAGAATTAATGGTTAAACTAGTTTTCAAACAGTACTTCATACTTTTTGTGTCTCTGTGGGTGCAAACAGTGGAAATTTCTACCTAATACAGAGTTGGTCTTCTGTATATAAAGTGAATTAAAAAAGAAACTTAATGAAAAATGGAATGGGAGAGGGAGTAGGAGGTGGGATGGTTTCATGGGGAGGTGGCAGGGCAGGAATGGGGGAAGAAACACTATATTCCTAAAAGTTGTACATATGAAATTTGTATTCATTAAATAAAAACCTCAACAAATAAAATAAGTGTAAAGAAGCAATAAAGATTCAGCAACAAACAGATGTTGCATTTATCTTCAAATATGAAGGACTGTATAGGTAGCTAATGACAGCAACATATACAGAAGCTTGAATTGACCTGGACTCCACAGATGAACAAAACAATATTTACTTCAAGACTCGAGTTGAAATTCAGAATAAGGCCATGGTGCCAATTCTAGAGAGAATTGAATCCTTATGAAAAATTCTTACTACTGGTAATAGGGGCATCAAAGGAAGAACTCTTCAAGGAGGTGTGCCATGATTGACCTTTTAAGACAATGCAAGAACTTATTCATGGACTGGATGCATTGATTTACTGAAGAAACACCTCTGTCAACAACATGACTATTTAGTGAATCAAAGAGAAGGTTTGTGCCTTCACCATTTTTTTTTTTCTCCACAGGCAGAGTGGACAGTGAGAGAGAGAGACAGAAAGAAAGGTCTTCCTTTGCCATTGGTTCACCCTCCAGTGTCCACCGCAGCCGGCACGCTGTGGCTGGCGCACCGCGCTGATCTGATGGCAGGAGCCAGGTATTTATCCTGGTTTCCCATGTGGGTGCAGGGCCCAAGCACTTGGGCCATCCTCCACTGCACTCCGGGGCCACAGCAGAGAGCTGGCCTGGAAGAGGGGCAACCGGGACAGAATCCGGCACCCCGACCGGGACTAGAACCCGGTGTGCTGGTGCTGCAAGGCGGGGGATTAACCTACTGAGCCGCGGTGCCGGCCGCCTTCACCATTTTTAATACATGTTTCACTATAGCATCTGATGTATTAAATGTCAGTGGCTGGTCATTATGAAAAATAAGCCAAGATGTGTCACGAGTGTCTTAGGGAGTCTGGCTAGCAGACTCAAACCAGGGCCCACGATGACGGTGTCTCGGGTGAGAAAAGAACGAATGGCGCTTATCGGTCTTCCATAGACTTTTTATTAGAGAAAGTAGACATGACAGAGGTGGAAAGGAGAGGAGAGAGAGAGAGCTTCCTCCTTATACCAGCGGCTTATATACAAAATGTGACCAATCAGGAGCAAGCTAGAGTCCATGCATCAGGCACACCAATCCGGTCTCTGTTCACGTGAAGGGCACACGTCCTTTGGCCAATCAGGTGAGGTGTCACGCAGCAGGCAGGCAGGCAGACTCACTGCGGGGGTCCTGGCGCCATCTTGTTGTTTACCTAGACCTGGATCCCTCCGCCCCCGGAGAGCCCTGCCCGTTGGAAAGCCCCTGGTCAAAAACTGAAACTAAAAACCTCCTCCTAGTGATGCCGCCGCGGACTATTCCCCAACAAAGATGAGCAGAGTGAGAAGAGTTTGGGTAAATGTAATTGATAAGATAAAAGTTTGACTTTGTGGCATTTATTATTCTTTGTAATAGCTAGGCATATTAATTTAAAGAAAATTTACTTTTTAACAATGATAGCAATTGGACCACTTAATTATATTTCCAGCTGAGTTGGATGGGCAGTGTTTCACATTAACATCTCTAAATTTGTATTGGTGAATACAATAACTACAATGTAGTCATATACATAAGTTTGATTAATACCATAATGCATTGAATAATGTCTTCTGGGCCTGCATCTTGTCACAGGAGCCAGGAGCTTCTTCTGGGTCTCTCACGTGAGTGCAGGGGCCCAAGGACTTGGGCCATCTTCTACTGCTTTCCCAGGCCACAGCAGAGAGCTGGATCGGAAATGGAGCAGCAGGTGTTAGAACTGGTGCCTGTATGGGATGCTGGCACTGCAGGCAGTGGCTTTATCTGCTATGCCACAGCACTGGCATTACTCTCTCTCTCTCTCTCTCTCTCACACTCTGTTTCTTTTTTGCATCTCCATCTCTATATAGCTCTACTTTTAAAATAAATAAATAATAATATACATCCTTTTAAAAACCCACTTTGACAATATCTTATTACTTATAGACAATAATATATGGTAACTTAACTTGGGCAATTTAAAGTGATTATACTTCCTTTAATAGGGATAAAGTGATGAGTTGTATCTCTTGTGGGCTATTATCTATTTAGTACATAATTCAGTTGAAATGATATCTATTTATTTTGTGTTAAATGGAAGATATTACATTTGAAAAAATACTCTTGTTTAGATTTCATTTGTAACAAGCGTGTAATGAATTTGAGACTTCTCAAATACTTGCAAAAAAATAGATAACCACAGTAGAAGAAATGCATCCTTCAGAAAACAAAATATTAAATTTGACGAGAAGAATCATTTTCATAATTATTGTTTGGCAAATCAAATGCAATGTGTAATGCGAACACATTAGGGTATTATACCAGTAGATATCATACACAATGTAACCTATAAGACTGTTGTGCACTCCAGGAAGTAATATTGTACTGTTCATTATGCAAATAACATTCCCTGGATTGTGCAACAAGATATTTCTGTTCACAAGTCTGTAATGACTGCAGTGATTTCTTAAAATTTTGTTATAATGGAGCAATCCCCATTTTTATAGCATATGTGATCTTCTAAATTTCAATTTGATTTCAGAAAAATTATTTGGATTTCACCACCTGTCACAAGTAAGCTTAACAATAGGATTATTAAACTATTCAGTGACAGAGGATTTAGAAATCTCCTCAAGTGAATGAAATCCACTGGGAAAAGGATCATATCTTCATTGTCAGGTAAATCAATGAGAAAATAAACAAAAATAATATCAAATAAAATTGCCATGTTCCTAGAAAATTAAAAATATGATTAAACTTTGGAGATATTTTAGGAAAGTAGTAATCAGAAAAAACTTATTTAAAAAGTGAAAGTGAGTGTTCGGTGCAGCCGTTAAGCAGCCTCTTGAGAAGTCTGCATCCCACACCCTATATCTTGACTGCCTGGCTTCAAGTCCCACCTGTGCTCCTGATTCAGCTTCTTGCTAATTCACATCGATGGACATGGTAGATGATGGCTCAAGTATTCAGGTCTCTGTCACCCACATGGGATAACTAGATTGTGCTCCTGGCTCTTGGCTTTAATCTTACCAAATCTCGGATGCAGTGGGTATTTGGGGAGTGAAGCAATGTGAGATTTTCTCCATTTCTCTCCCTCTGGCCCACGCTTCAAATAAAAAAAAAAAAAATTAAAAAACAGTAGCAATTTTTCAATTAAGTTGGGTAATATTTAAATAGCATATGTTCTCCATGATCTGCAAGAATGAATAAAGCACCTAAAACAAAATCTGCAGAAGTGAAATTGACACTTCGAGAAGGGATGAATTGAGTTGTCATTGTCTTGACTGATGAGGAACAGCTTTTTTTGTTTGCTGTTCGTTTGTTTTTTTCACTTTTTTCTCTTCATAGTATTTGTTGATCTCTTTATTAACATAGAATTAATCATATATGTATAAAGTCACTTGAGAATGGATCTCAGAAATATGAGTGGGAATAAGAGAGGGAGGAGGAAGTTTCTAACTATAAAGCTGTATAGTTCTGTATACATTCCTAAGGACTAACTTCTAAGGGTACAGTTTAAAAACTTGTCATGGGACCCCAAACCCCATTGCTGGGTGATAAAAATGTCATGTTATTAAAGTCCCATAATATTTATGCTCTGAAATATTATTATTTCATTGATTAGACAGCAAATTTGTACAGCCAAGGGTAATTCTAGGAATCAAGCCCTTCTCTAACTGGCATCACCAATTTAACTACATATGCCACAAAACTGTGTTGAAGAAATGATGTCACAGACTCTCTGTCTCTTCCTGTGTGAATGCTCTTGCACATAAGTATATTAACAAAGACAATTTTATGAAAAAATGTAGAGTCAAATTGTTGAGAGGGTTCATTTATATTTTAGCAGGGGTTAAATCTATGTTATTCACAGTAATTAAAAATCAGCAGGGATAATTTCAACATAATGTTATCTGGACAAATATAAGAATGAGACATCCAATGGTCTATTATACCATTAAAATGCATAGCATAGAGGGGTCATTGTATATTTTGGCAAAAGATTTTTTAACAGATAATGCAGTTATTTACAACATTACTTGATTTGATTTTTTATTTAATTTAAAATATAAGCATTTTTACTGAGATGAAAAAACATGCCCAAAATCAAAAGTTTAGAGAAACCGTATCAAAAAGAAATCTAAAACTAGCATGCAGAAATCTGTTTATTTGTGTAGCTTTTCTCTGTTCTAGGATATGATCCACTTACAGAGTCAGAAGAATATCTTATATTCTTCTGGACCTGGCAGAATATCTGCCGCAGAATTGGCTGTTTAAACATAATGGAATGTAATACAAGTTATACAAGATTTACATAAACAGTTTAATTTACATAAACAGCTTAACTTAATTAGTTATATTTCTAAGTAGTTGTTAGAAATAAACTTTAATTCAGATTCAATATTTTTCCATTTCCTATTGGTTTCATAGATGAAATAACAAGGTACTGACATAAGACAAAGCAGTACTATGTTCTTGCACAACTTTGAAAACAACTTTCTTTCAAAAGTGACTTGCAATTACAACAATTTCCCTTTCAATTTTCAACCTTTAACACTGTACTAATAAAAAGTGTGATATAGTGTTGCATATGAAACTTGGAAGTGATAGCATCTATCCACTAAATGTACTATAGAGTTCTAATTGAAAACAATATTCAGCAATGCCATTAAGATAATTAGAAACTCTGGTGTAAACTAACTTTAAGAAAACTAATTTTCAAGATGAGATTGCATAGATATTGTAAGCAAATATACAGCTAATAATTGTAATTTTGAAACTATGCTTACCCGCTAAAGGAACATTTTAACAGTTTATATTTCCTAATTGTTAGTAACTTTCATTTAACTTTTCAATAGTCAAAGAATTTTCTCTCTTAAAGTCACATTGACTTTAGACCACCAACTTTATTGCTAGTCAATTGCTTTTTGCTCTTGATTAAAAAAACATTGAGAACTTTTTATTTGCATATATATAACATGATTTCATTTGCATTATCAAAATATGACTTCATCTGTTTTCAAAAAGGTGAGTTTAATTTCCTATTCTTCTGTATGTATGTATGTAGTCCTGTATATATCTTATATATACAGAACTTAAAACTTCTGCTAAGCCTTGCAATATATGAAGCTAAAATTTCTTTTTCTTTGTGTAAAATCACGCATTGAACAAATCAAAGTCTGAAAACATGGCCTGCTTTAAACTAATGAATGATGGCTGTCATAGTTTCGCATGTTTGTGAATTATTATGAAGAGTGAGAATTCAAATATTTTCCAACATCTGAGAGGTTGCCTTGATTTAGATTGTGAGCCAGTATAGTTGGCTACTTTATCCACTTAAGTAACAGAGCTGATATGCTGTAAATTTATTTCAAAACTTGTATGAGTTTTGAAAAAAGGTGAGTTTGAAAAAGGCGGGATTTTTCAGTGAAATATTTTGTCATGAGTATTGAAAACTCATGTGTATTATTATGTTTTGGTCAAGGAATGGCTTTTAAATGTGTTTCTGCAAGAATGTAGGAAAATAACTACACACATATCAGCGCAGCTTGCCTCATTGGTATTATGCAATATTAAAATAATCAATTCCTTGTAAAGTTTGCTAAGATCAATTAATGCTTAATAAATATGGAAAATCGACATTGTTTTTTAAAAATAGAATTTAATAAGTGAAATAATCAATATGTATGCATTCATTCCCTGTTAACCCATTGATTAAACTATACATATCAACCTAGGTATGGCTTTAGATGGTTATAGATAAAAAAAATTTGATCAGATACAATGGAACTGCATCCTTATATTTAGAATTTTGGCATCTATACATTCATTGATCACACTGGATTAACTGGTACATGAAACCAAGTAAAAAAATACAGAATTAGAAACACAAAAATACTAGTGATTCTCAAAAGTGCAAGGAAAATAATTTTTATGATTATTTATGTGAAAGGCAATTAGAGAGAAAGAGCAGGAGAGACAGAGAGATAGCTTCCATCCATTGATTCACTCCCCAAATTGCCTCAGCAGCAGGAGCTTGACAAAGAAAAAACAGGAGCCAGGTATTACATTATGGTCTCCCATAAGGGTGACAGTGGCACAAGTACTTAGGATATACTCCACTGTTTTCCAGCTGCATTAGCAGGGAGCTGAATCTGAGGATAAGCAGCTGGGTTTGGAAACTTGTGATCATGTTGAATGCTCTCATTGCAGGCCATGGCTTAACCCTCTGTGCCAAGACATTGGCCGCAGGGAAAAATAAATAAATAAAAGTATTTTATGCCCATCCAGAATTCATACTTACTTGTATACTACAAATCTTAGTTAATCAAAAAGCAAACACACACATGTTAATCTAATCCTAGAGTAGTTTTAAAACTGGGATAATTCAATACATTCCTGTTAAAGACAATGTCCCCAGAACTTTGTCCAACACTATTTATCCATGTCTTTGGAAAAGCAGACATCCAAAGGTGATTATAGTCACACACACACACACACACACACACACACACACACATGCACACAAGTTTAGCAGGACTGCCTTGGAGAGAAACGAGGGAATAAATTATAAAGGGCTGGCAGAGCTGGTAGTCGTTAAACTATGAGCTTGAGTGAAGATAAGACGGAAAGAGGTAGGTAGAGCAGGGGGGAAGCACTGTAGAATGAGTGAACTTTGGGTTAATATTTTGGCCAAATATTTGAGATATGCTTGAGTCATTGCCTACATCAAGGAGTGTGTCATCTTCCAGGAATGGGACGACTTTTCCATCTTGCCATACTCAGTCATGGTTGGGAGAAACCTGTAGGAAACGGATCATAGGCATAATTCCAATCATGACCCCAAAAACTCAACACTAAGATGTCTACCAGTCACCTTCATTATACAGAGAGAACTAAGATGCTCTGTCTCATGGGTAACTTATTCCTCTTAAACCAAAATTTTCTCTAGACTCACTCCAAGTCTCATATATTAACTCTTTCTCCTTACTGAAACAGAGTACCTAAAAACCTACCTTCAACTGCCATATCAGAGCAGGATTTGAAATATCCTTGTTACCTCAAATTCACATACACACATGAATGTGAATCATTTTAAATTAGGCTCCCTTCAGACACAGCATTTTACTTTTCTGTAATATTAAGCATTCATAATCCATCACAGATTTATAAAACTGTGTCCTGAATGTTCTCCAAATTACCAATGACCCTGTACATTTCCCCATGGAATTATAAGCCATTGTGACCTTCTCTAAACCTCATTGACCAGCTTATCATTTTTACTCACATTTGTTTTCCTAGCAGACAAATCTTGCAAAGTATATAAGCTGATAAACTAATCCCTTGAAGTATAGGGATTTCAAGAACCAGACAAAGATGTTGGCAGAGACATTCTTTACGTTCTCTTTCTAAAATGTTAACTAGTTATAAAAAAAAAAAATAAAATAAAAAATAAAAAAAAAAACTAATGGAAAAAATGATAAGGAAATGAGAATTCTCAAACACTTATTTTTTGTGTTCTACAAACCTTCTTTGAGTTTTAGGTGTCATATAGTTCCACAGTCGCTATTTGAATTTCATGAGTAATTTAATATCATTGTGACAATCTGAGAAGCTGAACGGCATAGCTCATGGACAGAATGGTAATTAGCAGGCATTGTAAAAAAGGTGATTGATTTGGAAGAAATAATGAGTTTAAGTTAAAGTCTTGTGACCTTTCACATTTCTTTTTTTTATTTTTTTTTTTTATTTGACAGATAGATAGAGACAGAGAGAAAGGTCTTCCTTCCGCTGGTTCACCCCCCAAATGGCAGCTATGGCCGGTGCACTGCGCCAATCTGAACCCAGGAGCCAGGTGCTTCCTCCTGGTCTCCCATGTGGGTGCAGGGCCCAAGCACCTGGGCCATCCTCCACTGCCTTCCCGGGTCACAGCAGAGAGCTGGACTGGAAGAGGAGCAACCAGAACTAGAACCCAGTGCCCATGTGGTATGCCAGCACCGCAAGGCAGAGGATTAACCAAGTGAGCCATGGTGCTGGCTCCTCTTTTTTTCTTTTTTCTTTTTTCTTTTTTTTTTTTTTTAAGATTTATTTATTTATTTGAAAGTCAGAGTTACACAGAGAGAGGAGAGACAGAGAGTGGTCTTCCATTGATGGTTCACTCCAAGGAGCTTCTTCCGGGTCTCCCAAGTGGTTGCAGGGGCCCAAGGACTTGGGCCATCTTCCACTGCTATCCCAGGCCACAGCAGAGAGCTGGATCAGAAGAGGAGCAACCGGGACTAGAATTGGAGCCCATAAGGGTTGCCCATGCTTCAGGTCAGGGCGTTAACCCGTTGTACCACAGCACTGGCCCCAACCTTTCACATTTCAATTTAAGTCATTGAGGAAACTGAGGTAGGACTTTTAAAAATAAGGAAGATTTGAAGCAAAAACAGAAAAATCGAAGGGTTAATATATTTTCTTGTCCTCCTCCAGCATGTCATCACAGTACGCAGAAAAGACAACAACAAAGTCAAGTGTGCCCATAATCCTATTAAATAACTTCTTCAAAATATAGTAAAAAAGAACTGGCCATTACGTTACTATCATCAGATATATGTAAGGGCAACCTAAAGAAATGAGGCATCAATTTAGCTACTCTTTATATCTAGAGCAGGAAGGCCTCTTTTCCATTGTGAAATTGTAGCTCATGAAATTTATTTCCTCAAGGACAATGAAGGTAACAATATTATATTGCAAAAAGGAAAAAAAAATGCTGGAATCCCCCTCTTTTCTAAAATTGTCTATGCTCGGTGCTTTTCTAACCATGTAATTTATGTTTTCCAAATGGAAGCTTCTCTATACCTTTAAATTTATTTCATTGTTGTTTTCTTCTCATTGTTTTCTTTAGATTGCTAAAAGACAACAATCTGAAAACGTCATTATGACTCAGTTTCTACAAAACTCCAAATAAAGTTGAACTATAAGAAGAAAAATAAACAACCTGGGTGTATTGCAAGTTCTTTCACCCATTCTAATACATGTGACATAATTGCAATTCATAGACTAAGTTGAATGACATATCTAGTCTTTACCGTCCCTGGTATCCAGTCTGAAGGAGGTTGATATTACCTGTAAATTTGTTTCTTCTGCAGAAGAACTTATAGTATTTGAAATGACACAATAACATTATTTTCTTAATTAAGAAAACTAGATGACACATATACCTACTTTTTCAAGAAATCTTAGACAAAGAGGAAAATACCTCAATTTTCCTGAAGTCACTTCCTGAGCCTACAGCTTTCCTGATGCTTTATGTGTTTTTCCTTTTTTTTTTTTTTTTTTTTGACAGATAGAGATGGACAGTGAGGGAAATGTCTTCCTTCCATTGGTTCACCCTCCCAAATGCCCGCTATGGCCAGTGCTGCACCTATCCGAAGCCAGGAGCCAGGTGCTTCCTCCTGGTGTCCCACGTGGGTGCAGGTGCCCAAGCACTTGGACCATCCTCCACTGCCTTCCTGGGCCACAGCAGAGAGCTAGACTGGAAGAGGAGCAACCGGGACTAGAACCTGGCGCCCACATGGGATGTGTTTTTCCTTTAATGCTGGTGTGTGTGTGTGTGTGTGTGTTCACATTAACATATAGTTCCTCTTTGCTGTAAGGTGAAGGATGCAATTGTTTATACCGTATTACAATAGGGATTCTCTGGGTCTCTCCTTTCTTTTTCTGTGTGTTTATATTGGTGTGTGTGTGTGTGTGTGTGTGTATGTTTCTTGTTTTCTGACTGTGAAATTTATACTTCTCTTTTTTTATTCCTAGTTCCGTATGTGTTCTATCGAATATGTATATATGTGTATACATATATATATATATATAGTCAAGTAGGCATATTCAATTATTTCAAAGTAGGCATTGTATCTATTACATGTCTGCCTGTCTCTCCCTCTCTCTATATAATTTTGCCTTTCAAAGAAATTAATACATCATTTTAAAAATATCCTCCAAAGAAACCATTTTGGATTCATTTTGTAAACAATCTTGTTGGCTGGCGCCGCGGCTCAATAGGCTTATCCTCCACCTTGCGGCGCTGGCACACCGGGTTCTAGTCCCAGTCGGGGCGCCGGATTCTTTCCCAGTTGCCCCTTTTCCAGGCCAGCTCTCTGCTGTGGCCCGGGAAGGCAGTGGAGGATGGCCCAAGTGCTTGGACCCTGCACCCCATGGGAGACCAGGAGAAGCACCTGGCTCCTGCCATCGGATCAGCGTGGTGCGCCAGCTGCAGAGCGCCAGCCGTGGCGGCCATTGGAGGGTGAACCAAGGGCAAAAGGCAGACCTTTCTCTCTCTCTCTCTCTCTCTCTCTCTCTCTCACTATCCACTCTGCCTGTAAAAAAAAAAAAAAAAGTAAACAATCTTGTTAAATTCTTATATTCTTATTATTGCCTCCACTGCTGTAAATCACTTGGATATAAGGTCTAGGATATTTATCTCCTTCAACAAGGTATTTGCAGTAGACGATGATAACCCAAAACAATGTTTCTTCTATACATGCAATCTTCAAGTTTATTCTGTTGGCTGGAATATATGTTTCTATGATCATTTTGGAAATATTTTTTCTTGTTTTTAAATTTTATTTTGGAGGGAGGGAATAAGAAAGGGAGAAATTGAGGGAAAGAGGAAACCAGCGAGGGAGGGAGACAGAGCAAGGGAGAGTACTCACATCTTCTGGCTCACTCCCCAACTACCTACAATAACATTTGATTTCGCATAAATCTTAGAACTAGTTCATGTCTTCTACATGGATGGGAGCAACCTAACTACTCAAGCCCTTCAAAGGTCTGCATCAATAGGTGGCTAGAGACAGGAGTTGAAGAAATATTGAACCTAGGTACTTCAATGTGATGCAGGTATGGCAACTTCTATCATAAATGATAGGCTAGATGGCCATGCATACCCTGCTTCTCATAGGAAAAATTCATGGACAGTAGGTATACAATTTCCTAGCCAAGTAGAGTTTCCAAAACTAATGGATTTTATGTGTGTAAAAGGCCACTGATTTGCTAATATTTTGCTTGCATGCATTATCTGTTACACATATCTCATTTCAAGAGCCAATTACTGCTCAGAATGCTGATCTCCTTTGTTTGTAATTGTAGTTATACTTAATCTTAGGATATACCTCTAAAAGATAATCTCATAACTAAATTTAGTGAATCTTTAGTATAGCAAGCTACTGTACAATCTTACTCATATTTCTTTGGGAATAGAATGAATTGTTTAATGCCAGACCAGAAATTACCATAGTTAAATAAATTATCCAGAATTTTAACATGTTAAAATGATCATCATTACTGAATTATTCACTCTGCAAAAGACAACATGGCCTCTAGCTGGGGCCAAATCCAGGAGTTAGAACTCAATCTATGGAAGCAACATTATTTTTTTACTGGTGAAAGCCTCTGCCTAGCTCCAAATGTGTTCTTTTTCACTGAGTTGTCAGTTGGTGGAAAGAAGACTACTCTAGTCTTTCTTTCTCTTAATAAAAGGAAACTAATCTCATTGTAGGGTGATATTTTCAGATATGAAAGTTGCTGCTTCAATCCTCATAGTAGTATAAAACTATGAAATTCTCCTTTATATACCAAGGACAGAGCCTGAATTCAGCTTTCACTTGATAATTGAATTTCTGCTGTATGGTTGTTATAAAGAGCCATGTTTTACTACTGCTTTATATACCATAACAATATTTATTTATACTTACATAAAAACCTCATTTTTTTAAGTACCTTGATGTTATGGAGCCTTATACTCATGTAAAAATAAAGAGTTCTCTTAGGATCATTATTTGAATTCCTTATCAGGCATTTTATAGGTTTCCTTAAATCAGGATCAATTTCTGGAGAATTATTTTTTTTTTCCTTTTGAAAGTGTAAAATTTCCTTGCTTTTTTTATTGCACTAACTGGAGACTGTTATATAATATTAATTTGGAATAATAGAAGTAGAAACCTTGCTTTGATACAAATGTTAGGAATTTCTTCAGTCCTCACCAGTTACTAATGGTGTTATCTATAATTATGCCGTAGATTTCCTTGATCATATTTAGAAAAGGCACATTGATTCCCATTTTTCTCTCATCATATTCCCATGCTTTTCTGCATCTATTGAGTCTATTTTTTTTAACTCTAAGGATTCCATACATACAAGTGACATTTATATGGCATCATTATAGCAAAGAGGAAGAAGGTTTTCCATTTACTTCCTTTGTGAAAGATAATAAGATCCTTTGATTTCTAAATGCATTTCACCTTTGTAGAACAATTGGGATAAAAATTGGAAATAAATAAGCTTCAACTATACCTAATATATCTTTACTAATCATAATATTTACATTATTCTATTACAAAATTATTTTAAGCATTACATTCAGTTTTGAGGATATTTCAATCATTTCATCACTACAAGATAAGCTAATCTAAATAACTACTCTTCTTTCCATTCATACTCTGAGAATATTTTTCACTTCTTATGTCTTCCAAAGACTTTCTCTTCAATATACTTAAATGTTTCAGGTGTCAGAAAACAAGTCCTGTGCAGCTCATGGAAGTTTTAATTTTTCAAGAATTTCTTAATCAATTGCACATGAATAATTCATGAAACATGCTCTCAGCAAGCTAAGAATCCGTAAAAATTTCCTCAACTTGAGTAGGGACATCTGAGTAGAATAATAGGCTTCCTGACGAAAGCAAGAAACTCAGTTCTCATTATAGATATTTAACTATCCTTAGATAAAATATTCAGTAAAATGAAACAAGAACAGGATGAATTAAAAAACAAATAAAACTCACTATACCAAAACATTGGCCCATGTTTGTGGGTGGTTTTGCAAGGCAAATATTCCTGGGTTTTTTGACTAGGACAATACTGAAATAAAGATGGAGATTTAGTTTCAACAAACTACTCCAGAAAAATCCTTTTCCATTATTTTTTTCTTGGAACAAATCCAGACAGTGAGTGGTGTTTCCAGTATCCTTTTAACTTATAAAAAATTGAGAGATTTATGATTGACATTGTGGCACAGTGGGCTAAGCCACCGTCTCCTAAACTGGCTTCCCACATGAGTGCCAGTTTGATTTGCAGCTGCTGTGTTTCTACTCCAGCTTTCTGCTTACGTGTCTGGGAAAGTCACATATCAAGGCAGAAGTAGTTGAGCCCCTACCACACAGAGGGGAAACCTAGATGGAGTTCCATGCTCCTGGCTTCTGCCTGGCACAGCCCTTGCTATTGTGGCCATTGGGAAGAGAGTCTCTCTCTCTCTCTCTCTCCTTCCCTCCATCCATCCCTCCCCTTCTCTCTCTGTGTCTCTCTATCTCACTGTAATTAAATCTTTAACATAAAATAAAAAAAAAGATTTGGGTCAAACCTCCGACTTACTAGTTAAGAGGCTGGTTATGAGGTCTGTATCCCACATCAGAGTACATGGGTTTGAGTCATTGCTCTAGCTCCAATTCCAGCTTCCTGCTGATGCAGGTCTTGGGAGGCAGATGGTAATGTCTCAAGTATTTGAATCCTTCCATTCATGTGAGAGACCTGGATGGAGTTTCCAGTGCTCAGCTTTGTCCCTTTCCAGTAATGTTCATGTGGGCATCCAGAGAGTGAAGACATACATGAGAACTCTATGTCCACCTGTCCCTCCATCTCTTAGATAGTAAAAAAAGTTAAAATTGAAAGAGTTGGATTTTAATATAACTGGATATTTAGATGTCTATGGGATTTATTGAATAGAATCTTCATTGCTACAATCCAGTTGTTCACTAAACATGTAAAGAAAATGATTACAGTTTAGGAGCCAAAAACTAATAGAGGGACCATATGTGCCACCTTAAATACAGAATGCTATCACTGTGATTTTTTGAGTGTTACCTAAATTTAGTTATTTTATTATCAAGGTTTATGTAGTGGAAAAAGATAGGCTGATCAGTGAGGCTGCAAATGTCTGTACTGTAGCAAATATCAACACACATTATTAGTGCCCTATTAATACATTTGCCCTTTTGGTATCCATAAATCATCTGTTATTAAATGGCATGGTTATTATTACTGTTAGGTTAAACCAGTAAATCTGTCAACTTAATTGAAACTAGAGAAATAATGTCAAATGCTAGCGCTGTTTCCATTTCCTAGCAACTGAACAGAGCATATGAAAATAACCCTTATTTATGAATAGGAGCTACTCTATGGGCTAAAACATTTGCAATCCACAAGATTTTCAGTTTTTCCACACCTTCAGTAGCCTTCCAAATATTTAAATATTTAAAGTCTCTTCTTTGATAAGAACCTAGATGGAAATCTTGTTTGTCATTTTGTGTTTTACACAACATAAACAATTCAGTGTAAAGAACTGAATTCGGTAAACACATGTACTTTTATAGAGAACATTAGTCACTGGATTGATACTGAGAAAACAAAGTTGGTGTTGAATAATACACATGATATTCACATTAGAATTTTCTTAGTGAATTAAAATTGTAAACATTATTAATTTTTATTAACCTACTATATATATATACTATATAAACCTTAATGCAATGAGGAATTTATAGATCTATAGAAAAATTTTGTGTATAAGGATGTACAAACAAATTAATGAGGTTAGATCTCCCTAAATTTTCTTATCAAAGTGA